ATATTTATTTATATATTATTTTATTATCTATTTACACGAGTTTTCTAAATACAATTTTTTAAATACAAATTTGATTCATTTTTTGATTGTATACAATCAAAAAATGAATCAAATTTGTACGGCGCTTCATGGATGAGGATCATGTTCTAAAGTTGTTGACGACAACAAACATTTCTCGTTAATAAACAAGACAAAAGCATTTGGTGGACGTCATCCTGCAAACTTCGATTTACCAACTGATTTTTCTGGATAATCTTTTTTAAAAAGAGCATGAATTTCATTAATATTCATAGACAAATAACGCTTTTTTTTAAGCCCATTGATCTCACTATAATGTCTCATTGTGTGATTGGATATATCATCATATTAAAACAGCTGTACAGTTATCTAATGTTGTTTCACTTTTTTTTCTTCTAAAAATTTATTGATTTCTAGTTGATTTTAATAACGCTGACTCATCTCTCTGCACAACTTTTCCGGGAGTGCTTGCAGATTTGTACGGTGATAGTTCAACAACTATAAGTTTGAACTCTTTTTTTCTACTCTTTTTGAATTCTTTTTCTTATAAATCCGGGCTAGCTAAGACAAGTTTAGCTCACTTAAGAGCATTATCACCCGCTACGCTGTCCAATAGTAATTGAATTAAGGAAGAACAAAGTAAGCTAGAGTGAAAGTCAGGAGAAGTCGAGTTAGAATGATAGCATAGAAAAAGCAGACAGATATTTGCACTAGATGTTGTAATGTACAATTCATGCTATTAATTAGATTACCTAATTAATGTATTAGTATAAACGCGGTCATCATTGCTGATGACGTTTGTTTATACTTAATATAAATCTTGAATAATGTTATTGAATGTAAATAACATCGTTTAAAGAGGAATCTGTGTTATCAATGTTTGTAAAGCACAACTTATGGCTTCAGTTAAACAATTTTAGATTTCTAACAAAAATTGTTAGAAATTGTGACATCACAGCGTGACATAAAAACGTTCTAAAAACAACCTGAGCTAAATATGTTTTCAAACATACCAATGTTGTTTTAAAACTGCTTCATAGAATTTTTATTACCCTAGAAATTTGGATTTCAAAGTTTTACCGACTTCTTTAAAAATAAAAATATTGGCACTCTATCTGTCACAGCATGACGTTCCTACGTGACAATAGTGGCAATAAAAATTAACTAAAATGACAGTTTTTTGAGTTCTTAAAGCAGTAGTATCTCAAATACCAATGATGGGTGCAGCTTGATAGTTAACTACAAAGCTTTTTTACAGTTTTTTTTTTTTTTTTTACAGTTTCTGGATTTTTGAAAAGTTAAATTTAACTTTGACAATGAAAAAAGAACTGAATCATTGAAAAAAGTCAGATTTTAACCTTCTGTTGTGTATATATATATATATATATATATATATATATATATATATATATATATATATATATATATATATATATATATATATACATACATACATACAAAATAAATATATACATTTATACACATAAAAAAGGACCACTACTCTATGTTGTAACCGTAAAATCAGGGACATCTGACTTAAAAAGAGAAAAAAAAGTGTGGCTTAACTAACTTCAATGATAAACAATGAAAAATCAACGTCTTTAAAAGGATGGTTTTGAGATGGTGGACTGAAGACAATTTAATAGGTGATTGCCCAACCAAAAAACCTCATTTACCGGAAGACGTGAAATAAAAAAGCACCTGAAATGGGCTAGAAAACACCAGAATATGATTATTAAAGACATGAGTAGAATAGTAAATATAACCTATAATATTGTAAAAACCCTTAAAAAATAAAGCTTTATAATTTAAAAAATGATTGTAATGTTTTAATGGTATGCTTCTCAGACGAATCAACGTTTCAAATTTTGATGAACAAATTTTCATTTGTCCTTCTCCGTCCAAAAGAAAAATTTTAGCAGGACTTCTTTTTGAAAAAAAAACATCCTATGAGTGTAATGGTGTGGAGTTTACCTGACATGAACCCCATAGAAAATCTATGGGAGTTCGCAAAACAGGAAACCGCTAACGAAATCAACACTATAAAGAAGCAATTGATAAAACTCTTATTTTAATGTGGCATATCAACCCCAATCTCCAGCACATGGTTAGGGTTAACACCAACCCTAAAAAGTCTGCATTGAAAGCATGCCCTGATGCCTGAAAGCCGCTATTATAGCGAAAGTTAGTATTACAAATTATTAAGACTGTTACCTTATTTGCTGTTTTAAAACTTTTTATAAAAAAATAGATAGCTATGAAAAAGAATAAAGCCCTCTAACAATAAAACAAATAAATAATAACTACAATAATGCAACAACTGCACCATGGCATACTTGCAATTTGCTTTTTTTATAGTTTCTGTTAACTCCGGATTATTGTGCCAGATCCTGATAATCATTTCCATAAGATCTTGCTTGTTTTAATCTTTTTTCCAATCTTTTACTTTAATAGCTCTCAAATATTTTCAATGAGGTTGAGATAAGGTGAATTGCAGTACATAATTTTTTTTCCATTTTAAATAACCTATAACACTTTTTGTTGTGTGGTTGCACTACCTTGCATAAATAGGTTTTTTATATTTTTGGACCAATCTGCCATTTGGGGAAAAAACTAATTCTCCTGAACTTCTATATACTGGATCTGTCTCATTGTCCCAATCATTTTATGTTTTAAATATATAAGATTGTCCCAATCTTATATATTTTAAAGACCGTTATACTCATGCCAAGCCTTTATTATTTGAAATGAAAGTTTTTAATATATATGAGCTTAATATTTTTAATATTCTTTGTTTTACGTTTAAATGCAGAGCCAATTCATTCTCGATCTCTTTCCATAATTTGTATTCATCAAAAGATAAAAGTAAATGCATTTTAAGGTGAGTTTCCACTCACCCGTTTTTCTACGGGAAAGGGAACGGAAAAATAATCACGTGAGCATGCGCAGTTTACTTTCGGACAAATAAAAACTTTTGTTACGCATGCTCACGTGATTTTTTTTTCCTTTCCTATCCCGTTCCCGTTGAAAAACGGATGAGTGGAAACTCGCCTTTACGCAATGATAATTTTATTAAGCAGCCCATTTTTCAAAAATCTGTTTTAAAATTTGTGTTGATTATCGCGGACCATTTTTATGGAATAAAATAGTTTAAAAAAATTTTACTCATGATTTTATTCATCAAAGTAACTATTTTTCCGAAAGCTTAAAAAACTCATTTTTACAATCGAAGATTTAACAATATACTTTTGAAATTTTTTTAGTGATCTTCCTTTTTACCCCCTATTTAAACATGAATTTATAAAAATTATATATGTAATACTGTATCTTGTATTTGTATCGGAATATTTTAAGTTTCTTATTTCGTTACTTATTTTTTATCTTGTAATTATCTTATAAATTATTACAGGAACATTTCTTAGCGGTACTCGACGACAAGACCGTAAGGTCTTCTACGAGTCCCCGCGTTCTTTTATTATTTAATAACAATCATTATATATATTTTTTCTTTATTATTATTTATTTGTGTTTTAAATATTGTAATAAAATGCTTATTTAAAATGTAATAAAAAAAACAAAAAAACAAAAAAAAAATTTGTAGAGACACCCTGCTCCTTGCCCACAAATGATAGACCAGATTATTTTCACAAACGACAGACCAGATTATATCAGATAATTACTTTACTCATTGTGGATATTTTACTGTTTCCACAATACAGTTAGGATGAAACTTTTCGTTTGGTTTACGATGGACAAAAGCTGTTTTATTACTTAAAAAGTTAAACGTGAAAAGCAAACCTAAAATAGTACTTATTTTAAGTTATGATATTTCTAAAATAAATTATGAATAAGAGAGTGAGTAAAAATACCTTTTCCCCATAAGGTTAATGACATTAATTTCGAGCCCACTCTTAAGGCCATAAGGCCTTATGAGAGTGGGCTTGAAATTTTCTTCTTATTTTCCCCATGAGACCAGTGAAGACCAACTCTAGTCTTTTTTTCTTCATGAAAAAATTTAGTTTCGGTTATTTGACTGAGTAACGAAAAACCTTTTTTTTTAGCCTTCTGCAAATGGTCAATAAGTACCAATAATACATCGTAAATAAGATGCAACAATACCCTCTTTTATTTTTTTTTTTAGGTCTGAGCAATTAACAATTTGTAAATTATCACGTTTGATTTTCAGAAACAATGTGGGAAGTTTTTTTCTACAAAAAAGATTTAGAAAAAAGTTAGGACAGTTTCGATAAAAATTTCAGCGTGTTTCTCTTCACGGAAAAACGATTTTATGATTGATTTTAGTAAAATAAGAATTAAAAAACGACAATTTTTATATTTGATTTTATAGATAATTTATCAAAAGCTTTTGATATATCAAGAGACTCGTAAAACTACAATATGTATAGAAAGCTTCTTGTTTTTAATCTCTTCTGTATAATAAAACTATTATAAAAATAATAATTATATAATAATTATATATGAATAAATATATAATATAATATATTAAAAATATAAAATAATATATAATATAATAAAAATAAGAATATAATAAAAAATATAATATAATAAAATATAAATATAATAAAAAATATAATATAATAAAAATATAAAATAATATATATATAATAAAAATAAGAACCATTATTGAACAACTAAAGAAAATTAAACCATTATAGAAAATTAAAACTTTTTGACCGTTATAGAAGAACTCTTGAGGTTTTCAAAAAACGTTTTTTCAAAATCAATCACTTTTAAATATTTTAGTTTGGTGTAGTTTTATAAAATTTGCATTTGTTCCTCGTATAATTCTCATCTATTTATGTATTTCCTGTAACTATAACAACACTTAACTTTAAATATTACGTAACTATTAAGATTTTTTTCATAAAAAGTCAATTCATAACACATACAAGTTTGATTAAATTACTTGTTACCTTATTTCAGTAAATAAGTTGAAGTGACTCAAAATGAAAAACAAATGATTTTAACAAACCATATATTAAATTAATCAATCACATTCTGGTCAGAAAAATGCGTCGAAAAATGAGGAAGATATCGCTGTTTAATTAACAAAACAAATGTCTTTTTATGTCACATTATACTTGTCTTTGATAGCATCTTTTGCTTTTTTCGATTTTTCACGTCTTCTCTGAGTAATAGGATTCCTTGGATCATAGATGTCATACCTAATGATAAAAACAAAAAACAATAACAAAATGTATATACATGTATATAGATGTCATACGTAATGATAAAAACAAAAACAAAAAAAGTATTTTATATGAACAGACACTTAAAATCTTTTTAAAATATGAACAAAAAAAAATTATATATTTATTTTCTATTCTTATAATTATCATTAATTTTATTGATATTTTTATTATTAATGTAAAGCTTAAATTTAAAAAATGAATGATTTCTATTGTCGTAATAAGTTTTGATTGGTTGACCGAATTTGAAGCAATATCAAAAAATAAAACAGTTGCAAAAGATTGTTGTTTAGCCGAATTCCTAAAAATCTCGATGTGAAATCTTTGTTTAACACTACGCAGACCACCAACAAGACCATCAACTTTTAATGGACTGAGAGTTGATTTTTGCTGCATATTGTTTTCAGAAATTTTAAAATAATCGATTAAGTCACCTCTTAATCAGCGTTAAGAAAAAGTAGTTAAACCCAACTTAGATGTGATTTATAACTCACACTCTAAGTTATGACAACAGCTGTTCCATTAGCTTAGCAACACGTTTCTGTAACTGCTCAATCTTTCTCGAGAAATGGGTTTAAAACTGGGGCACAGTATTTATGCAAACGACAAACATAGGCTGTGTAAAGTTTAAAAAACATACAAACATTCCAATAAATTCACTTGAGCATAATTAACTTTAACTGTTGCTTGGTTTATTTGGTCCATTTGATATTGCGCTCTAAATGTTCATTGTCTAATTGAATAAGATTGCCAGCCTTAAAAAGAGAATCTATTTTATCAAGAACAGAAAAATGTTTAAGAAAGAGAAATTAAGCTTCATAGCAATCGTTAAAATTTTGTAAATACAAATACTTAGAATATGTCATTGACAATCATTCTAATTTTTGATGTAAAATTTTACTCTGTTTACGAGAAAATCTAAAGAAAATTTGTTATTATGTAAAACTCTTAAAACAATCAAAATTTAGAAGAAATTCAAAAGATTTATAAATTAAAGTTAACTCGTTAATGAACAAAGTTCAAGTGAACTTTATTAATTAACTTTATTTAAAGTTAATAACTTAAATTAAGTAACTTATGTAAAAATTATAAATCTTGCAAAGTTCAATGGAAAACTCATGATTAATGATTTACTCATGATAAACATATTAACTTGATTATTAAAAAGCTCTGCACGAAAATACAAAGCTGCGGATGTTGTTATAAATTTCAGATCTATTTTGCAATTAAAAACCGTGTAAAAATAACCGGAAATAATTTTTGTATGATAGAACTGTTAAAAGTAGAATTAACCTTTGCAAAAAAGAGTTTGCACCTATATGTGCAAAGATGTGCAGTCAAAGATGTACACTGGTACATTTTTTTCGTAATTACTACAATTATCATCAGTACTTTGTTTATTTTTTTCTTTTTTTCATTATTAAAACCTGCAAATTGATTTCTACATGTTTGTTTTGATGTATATTTTATATGCTTTGGTCTGTGTGTTTACGATCCATGTGTTTCAGTGTGTGTCTTTGCTTATTATTACTTGTATTATATCAAAAATTGATGTCACTCCTTTGATCAGATTTCTGTATGACACCATCCTAATAAATCATTATATGTACCATTATAATATTAATTATTATTATTATTATTTTTTCATTGTAATTATTGTAAACATACTTATTATTACTATTACTATAATTTGTATAAATTATAGTAATAGTAATATAAATTTTTTTTAAATCTAATATTATTATAATATATTATTATTAAAATTACTACTACTATTATTAATATTATTATTATTATTATTATTATTATTATTATTGCTACTATTATTATTATTATTGTTATTATTATTATGATCAGAATTATTGTAAAATGATTTACGGAAAATAAATAGCTGTTGTTGTTGTTGTTGTTGGTGCAAAGATGTGCAGTCAAAGAGATGAATATCTGAACAAAAAATTTAAAAAAATTTTTAAAACTAATCTCTAACGATCTTAATGCAGAGAATTAGGTAGAGCTTTATATTGCAAGTCAGCATTTCTGTAAAAGATTTTGTCCAACGTTTTCGTTAACTTTTTTTCCTAATTTTGTGCTTAAAAATTAGGCTTGGTAAACAAAAGTATGAAATCATCAGATTTTACATAAATCACTAAAATCAATAAAATCAATAAAGGCTCTCTGTAAGTAAGCTTGATAACTATATATATAGATTAATAGATATCTTTGCAAAAGTAAAGAAATAAAAATAAACTATAAATAGAGAATTAAAATATACCAACCCTAGTTTATAATTTTATAATAATATACAGAACATTTACTTGTAGTTACAATCGGTGGGGAAATTTACACCTTTATATAATTGTCATCTTAAATTTTATTTAAATTTAAAGGATGAGGCTAAAAAGAAGGATTACTTTGAGCTAGCAGAGCTTGCACTTATGGTGCATTCTGAGAATAAACACAAGTTTTTAACTATCGGAACAGTCTACTATGTCCTCTTCAAGAATGTGTCATTTTTACAAGTTTAAAGTTTTCCATTTCACCATACCCTTGCATTTTACAAATTTTTAGATGTGTAACAAGCTATTAATGAACACTTTAAAATTATTGAACTATGAATGAGCGATATCAAAAAATGATTAGCAAGTTGGTAATATTTTTGCTCATTTAGTAGAAGTTACTATCTAAATAAAAAATCTTTTAAAAACGTATGTAAATGAAACAAAATAATGTAAAAATATTAATACCAATCATCTCCTTTCATATTGGCATCCTTTGCTCTTTCTTCATTATCTTCAAACTTAAGTTTATGATTCATCCTTTAGAAAAAACAACAAATTACTATGCAGAGCATACAAATAGTGGAACCTCCCTGGTTTATACTTTAAAAGAAAATCTACCACCAATAATAAAAAACCTAAATGAATATTTTATTATAACATATTTTTAGTTATATCATGCCATAGACAAAAGTAAAAAGCCATACCAGGATTCTTCCTCAGGTAAATCTGAAGAATTCAAAACATCTGTAATTTTTGACGAAAAACTAGCTAGCAATTGTAATGTCTAAATTAATAAAATAAAAATTAAAATAAACAAACTGAAAGGAAAAAAAAATTATTTCTAAAATTAGCATTATAAATTACGTGTTTTAAACTTTTACATTTTTAAAATAAAATTAGCAGGTGTACAAAAAAAAAATAGATAAAATTAAAATAAATCTCCTTACTTCTTTTTCACGCCCATCACCATTCTTTTTTAATATAGCCTCCTCTTTTTTCCTCTTCAACATTACTTTGCGTTCTGTTGCAAGTTGAGCCATGAGATCATTAACTGGTTCTTTTTCTTAAAATATAAAACTTGTTTATACTTTTAAATTTTTCAAACTTTTTAAAACTCGTTTCATTTTAACTTATATAATTAAAGTGAGATTATAATTTAAAAAAGGAACTATTCGCCGGTTCGATGAATAATTACTACCAGCAACAAAATTTATACAAGTCTATTGAAAAAACTATTTTTTTAAAGAATTTTTTTAAAAAATATCTAAAGTATTATTTGTATTATAACTATTATTAGTATTATTTCATGTTTTAAATATGTTGTAAAAAGACATAAAAAGACAAAAAAAATAAACAGATAAAAAAAATTTTTTTAGCAAGAAACTAGAAATACTTTTTGTTTTACTATAAAAAAATTTTATAAACTTTTAAAACTTTTTATTCTTCATCCTTTTTTTATGCTTTTTCTATACAATTTTTAAATATTAGCAAGTTTTAACAAAAAAAAGTTAATTTATAAATTCTAGTCTGTAATAGTTTCCTAATATTTATGAAATTTATGGCAACATATAATACTTATGAAATTTATGGTAACACATAGTATTCAAAAAAAAGTAAACATTTTTTCATAAAAATTAATCCATAAAGTTCACAATTTTTAAAAAGTACCTGGTTTTATTGTGCTTGTCTCAGGTGGAACTTCTTTCTCATTTTTTATTAAATCACGTTTTAATTTCTTCACTTCTTTTTGTAACAATTTCCTTCCAAGAAAAAAAAAAAAATTAGTCTATCTATGTATATGCAATGTATATGTAAATGCAACCTAAACAGTAGATGTTACATTAAAGATAGTGTGTTATTGCATGCAGAGCTGTTTTCTAAATTTGTTATGTAATTTTATTTCATTTATTCATAAGTGACATTGAAGTAAGTCTTAAATGTTTTTTTACACTGAATATAAAGGATAAAAGTTTTTTTACACTGAATATAAAGGATAAAAATTAGTCTCTTTGTCGTTGATTATCAAAGATTATACAACACAATCTCTTTAATTCTAATTTTATGGGAGAAAATGAAAATTTAAATTAGAAAGATTTTTGTATTATAAAAAGTTGACATTTTTTCAAATATTCTTGTCAAAGTAATGAATAGAAATCAAAGAAAGAAACAAATAGTAATTCTTAGGCCTAAATGCAATATAAATTACGTGTTTTAAACTTTTAAATTTTTAAAATAAAAGTCAGTAATTGTAAATTGTCTTTAAAGTTAGAATAAAGACTAATTTTTAAGTACAGTAAAAGCATGCAATCCTTTGTTCAAACTTAATTTTGCAATCATCGAGTTCCTCTCCAGTTTCAATCGCATCATGTCAAGAAACTTTTGCAATGATATCCTCATCTGATGTTTTGTTGACAATGCAAACATCCAAATCTATTTCTACTAACTCATCAGCCATGAGGTTAAAATCTGTATCAAATTTTGCTTTTAATAATTCAAAATCGTTTAAATTTTCCATTACAGCCTCCTCTACATATAAGCCACAGAAGTGATCATTACAATTATATATATGATTTTCCACTACTTCTAATAATATATTCCTGATTTTTTGAAACAATTTATAAAGGTCTGTCCTGGAATGAAATTCTATACTTTTCTTAGCATAAACAGAGCAGTTAAGAAAGAAAACTTAAGTGCCTTGTTCTCTTTTTTCAAGGCAGCAACCTGCTTTTTCACTGCAAGTGAGCAATATTTTGCTTTAAGAGATTCAAGGTAATCAAGGTTATATTCTGTGGAAAGAAGATAAGCTCCGCCTAACAAAGTTTCTGGACTTTAGGATGGGCAGAACAATTATCTATAATTACGGCAATTTTTCTTTTTTGAAAACTAAACTATTGGTCAAATAATTCTGCTGACATCCAACTTTTTGGTTGGGCCCAATAGCAACAAGGATGCTTTTTTACACCTTTGAAACATCTAGGAGACTTCGATTTTCCAATTACAAATTTTGAAAGTGTTTCTCCTATAACATTACATACATAAAAAAATTTATAATTGCTTAGACATAACTTAAACATAGGTTTGAATGTAACTTCAGCGTCTTTGCAGGTTTCCAATTCTGGAAAATTTTTATTTTATTTGCTTAAAACAATTAAAGAAAAAAGCTGCAAAATAATCATGTTGTAAAATTGTAAAACACTCATAAAAATTTGACAAAATAAAAAAAGAAATTAATTTACTTTTTCTTAAATATTTCTAGCCCTCCATCCAAAGTTTAAAATTTTTTGAATCTTAACTCTTTTACAAAAAAAATAAGGTTTTTCTTTTTAAAGCAAACAACTAATTGGCAAATTATCAGCTCTCATTCGTTTGAACCATTTAAGTAGAGCTTTGTTTACTTGATAATATGAATCAACTTTCACTCATTTAGCCAAATTTTATTGAAAAAATGCATCAAAGATTTATTTTTATTCTTTTTCCAGGTTGAAAGAGCGTATTGGTGGAATATCAAAAATTTTTGAAACCAAATTTTTCTCAAATTCTAGTAGAGTATTGTATTTCTGCTTTAAATTATTTTCTTTATGCAGTCTCTTTGATGCCATAATTTTTTTTAAACAGTAGAAAATAACTCACATAAATTGTTTTTCAAAAACAAAAAACATTCGAAATTTGAAAAAAGTGTTGGATGGTTTAAAGAGCTTTTTACAAGTCCAATCGAATTGGGGAGGTTTTCAAATTATAGAAAGTTAAATGTAAGAGTTTCATAAGCGCATTTTTGGATTTAGCAGATTCAAATTAGAGATATTGTGCTGTAATAGACAAAAGCAAATTAAAAACTTTTTTTCTTATAAAAATGGAGAAGTGCTTTTGTTTAAGAGAATTTTTTTAACAAATGTATTTAAAAATTTTTTTTTTTTTAATTAATTCAATGTAGTTTAAAGTTCTTTTGATGTAATACATTTATGAACATAAATTACATTCACAAATATTTTATTGGTAACTGATAAAATCTATCTATTAACTGTTTATAATCTTTATTAAAAATGTTAATAAATATTAAATTCATAAAAATTAAATTAAAAAAATTGTGATAAACAAACAAATGACTATATTATGTTTAAGACTGTTTTAAGAAATAAATTATAAGATTAATCTTTTTCAAATACCAAATTTAAATTCAATTAATAATTTTTGTTAAACCATTTTAAATAATTTTTAACGTGGTTTAAAATCAAAATTATTTAAAATATTTTCAAAATATTTTTTTAGGCTGTTGTAACAAATAGGATCTTAATAATTACAGCATGTTAAAAGCAAATGGTTTTAAATGTTAGTAAATTGTTTTTTTATATTTGTCAAAAATTTGTTGTTGTAAAAAAGAATGTCTATTTTTTAATATAACAAGCGCTCAAACCAAGTGTAAAACCTAATGGCGTATATATCAGCATATGCTTTATCTGAAAGTAGAAAAGTGAATGTTATCATTGTTTACAATATTACTTTAATTTATGCAAACTATTTTTAGCCTACACTTAGCGCTATAATGAGAAATGACAAAAATATGCTAGAACTGCAAAAATTTTTATAAAAAATAGAGACAGGCAATTACAAAAATTGGTGGGCGAATAATGAACTTGCTACTTTCAATATATTAAATAATTCAATAACTATGAATAACAAAAGTTTAAAAAATAGAATAGTAATTACTTTGCATTTAATGCATGTTTGAAATGTTAACAAACCAAGTGCTTTAGTTAACGAAGATTGTGAAGAAGATTGTGATACTAACAACTTATTTTAACTAAAGAAAAAAATTCTGTAACAACCAATCACTCCTTATTTAATATTGTTAACATCAGTTTGAAAGGCTAGGTCGAGTTAAACAACTGAAAAAGTCTATGATGGTGGAATGACAGCATATTCAAAAACTACTTCCAAATTTTATTTTCAAAAAAATATTTGCGCTTTTTTTTGTTTGCAATATGCAGTTTACACAGTCTAACACCATAAAATACAATATAAGATTATCGATTACGCATGCAGTTGCACAATGTTCCTATTGAAGGTTGACGAACATAAACAAAATTTTGTGTTAATAAATGACATTTGATATTATTAATAAAAAACAATTTAACTAAAAAATAAAAGTAAATGAAGTCAACTCATTAAAATAATTTATTAAAAATTATATACTATTAAAAAAACTAGATACCGACGGTCTTCCTTTGCTTTGTTTAAACCTAAATCTTCAACAACAACAACTGAATCTTTTTTTAAATCAGAATCTTTTTTTAATTTTTTGCGAATACTTGCCGTGACTTCATCATCCTAAAAGAATACTGGCTAGATTACACCTAAACCAAAACAAATATCTAAATAATAAAATGTATGTAACTATTGTAAAGTTAAAAATGTTTTAAATTTATTAGCAAAAATTTAATTTCAGGTTAGTGTGCTAGAAGCCTAGTGTGCTACAAATGTTAATAAGAATAATACTTTTCAATATTTATTATATTTTATTATATTACTTGAATTTAAATTTTTTAAAATTTCTTTACATTATATACATGATAGACAGGTTTTTGGGTTGGGCAAGCAATCTTTTTATAAAAATATTTTATTTATATATACTAACAGAATAGAGGTTGTTCTCATGCAAATTTTGACTGTTTTTGACCCCTTCCCTTTTTCACAGCATTGTTAACCTTAAGCAACAAAACCTGTATGAATTGTCACAAAACCACTAATCTTTACCCCCCCCCCTCTCTTTAGGTAACACTTTGTGGACAACCCTTTATAAATTGTGGCAAATTTGCTAGAATTAGAATTTGCTAAATTGCTCTCTCTCTCTCTCTCTCTCTCTCTCTCTCTATATATATATATATATATATATATATATATATATATATATGTGTGTGTGTGTGTGTGCGCGTGTGTGTGTATGTGTGTGTATGTGTGTGTGTGTTTTAACAATTTTTAAAATGTATTCTACGAAACATTCTACAAAATTTTATATATATATATATATATATATATATATATATATATATATATATATATATATATATATATATATATATATATATAGAGAGAGAGAGAGAGAGAGAGAGAGAGAGAGAGAGAGAAAGAGATGTAAATCATTTTTTTGGTTCTTGTTTTTTTGCCAAAAAACCCGAGGGCTTCGTTTTTTGTTTGTTTTTTTTTTTGGTGCTTTTAAACAAACCACTAAAAATAACTTTAATTTTGAGGTGATATATATTTAAAGATATTTCCATTTTTCTATTTACCATTATCATGAATAGAAGTATTGTTTTTTTTTAAATTTTCATCAAATAATATCAGCAACTGTTCTCCAATTACTAACTATAAGTTCTTCAGTTGTTCATTAAACAGTATTAGTAATTGTTCTTTAATTACCTACTTCATATTACGTTAAAAATAAAATATAAAAATAAAAGAAAAAAAAGATCATTTAACAAATCTTTTTTTAATAAAATATAGTAGCAATGTAACAGAGAGAACTTTTTGTCTTTTTAACGCAGAAATGTTTTTTGAGATAAAAACTATTTTCTTTAACAAATTTTCTCAAAATTAAAAACACATTTATTTAATAGAATGAATGAGAAAAGAAAAAAATATTATAATCTTATGAATGAAATACCACTGCATTGCAAAATGTAAAAGTATTTTAAGCTTCAATGATACTTTGACACAGTTTTAATAGTAGTTTTTTGTTCATCAAACTTTATTTGGTATCTTCTTTTTTTATAATTTTCTGTACTATTAATTAAATTTTATTTGTAAACTATAAAATAATGTACCAGTTTACAATTAATTATATCAACAATAAATTTAAATTAGCTTTTATAATTGTATTTCATTAATAACTAAATTATTAATTATATTTTACAATATTAAGGTTCTAATCATTAATTTTGCAGATTTCTAGTTATTAGGTCTAATATTTAAAAAATTAATAGTAAAATAGTATTAATAGTAAAAAGGTAATATGCTGCCATACTGGTGGTAAAACAAAAACAACTGTGAGTACTTTATTTAAGCCAGCTAGCCAGGTGAGCAAAATAGAAAGAGTTCAATGTTCTTTTTGCAATGACATTATGTCAAAAAGTGGAACAAGAATGGCGATGCATATTAAGAAATGTAAAAAATGTCCAGCTGAAGTGAAACACAAAATTTTAAATGACGAGATAGTAGTGCAAAAGCATCCCGTAAAAGATATAATACAAAGCAAAATAACATGGCAATTTAAAAATCTTATTCTTAATAATAACTTTAAAAGTGTCACAAATATCGCTCCAGCCTAAAATTCAGATGCATTAAAACATTCCGAACCAACTTCTAAAAGTGAAAAATCCTGTTCAATATTTGATAGTATGAAAGGTTGGTATTAACATATTTTATTTGAAAAAGTAATAATACAATTTTTTTTTTAATTATTTGAGTTTATTTTCGTAATAAGAATCAATTGATGCACATTTATCCAGAGCAATTTATGCTAGTGGATCACCTTTAAGTTTAGTAGAAAATAGATATTGGAAAACCTTTTTAAATAATTTACACCCAGCGTATAAACTCCCGACAAGATATGAAATGTCAAATATACTTTTGGACAATGAGTATAATCGAATTTCTGTTAATGTTAAAGAGGTAGTAGCAACAGCAGATTCGTTAGGATTCATGTGTGATGGGTGGAGTAATGTAAGGTGAGTTCAAATAAATTATAGAATTTTTTATTGTTATAATTTTCATATTCAAACTTTAAAATTCTTTAAATTTTTTAGAAATGAAGCAGTTATTAACTTTGTTTTGACACTGCCTTTATCAGCGCCTATTTTATGGAAATCACTGCCTTCAGGTAAAATGTACATACATTCCTCTGATTATATAGCTAAACACCAATGTGTGAATTATTCTCATTAAAGTAATTATTTTAAGGTTCATCAAGTCATTCTGGGGAATATATAGCTGATGAAATACTTGTTAGAAACTTGGAAAGTGTTAGAAGAAATTAATCCTTAAAAGGTCTTTGGAATAGTAACAGACAATGCAGTAAACATGAAAAAGGCATGGAGATTATTAAAAGAGAGCTATCCTTACCTTAATTGCTATGGATGTATATCTCACGGTCTCAATTTACTTTTTAAGGATTTTATGAAACTTCCTACTTGTGTGTTAATGTCACAAGCAACAGATATTGTAAAGGAAGTAAAAAATTCTCACATATTAGGTGCAATATTTAGAGAAATTCAAAAACCATCAGTGGAGTCAAGCATTTCATTAAAACTTCCTGTAAAAACCAGGTACTTGTAACAAGTAATTGAAACATAGCTTTATAAAATATATATTTGTTCTTTTACTTTTTTTAATCAAGTTAGTATTAGTGATTAAAACCTATTTATTATTAGATAGGGTTCAACTGTAGCATGCCTCGAGAATTTACAGAAAAATAAACAGTGCTTAAGAATTTCTGAACGCTGTGTGTTAAATTCTACGATTAAAAACAATTTGTTATCAGATATTTTTTGGGATAAAGTTCAAGGATTTTTAGTTCTGCTAGCACCAATAGCTGATGCAATTAAAATAATGGAAGCAGATAGCCCAATGCTGTCATCTACAGTTGAAATTTTTTTATATCTTAGAAGAAAATAATAATCAAAACATAGTAGCTAGTCCTTTAACTAAAAAAGAAGAAGCAGAATTGAAGAAACTATTTGCAAAAAAGAAGAAGCAGAAATGAAGAAACTATTTGCAAAAAAGAAGAAGCAGAAATGAAGAAACTATTTGTAAAAAGAAGAAGCAGAAATGAAGAAACTATTTGCAAAAAAGAAGAAGCAGAAATGAAGAAACTATTTGCAAAAAAGAAGAAGCAGAAATGAAGAAACTATTTGTAAAAAGAAGAAGCAGAAATGAAGAAACTATTTGCAAAAAAGAAGAAGCAGAAATGAAGAAACTATTTGCAAAAAAGAAGAAGCAGAAATGAAGAAACTATTTGCAAAAATAGAAGAAGCAGAAATGAAGAAACTATTTGCAAAAAAGAAGAAGCAGAAATGAAGAAACTATTTGCAAAAAAGAAGAAGCAGAATGAAGAAACACTATAAAATTTTTTAAGTATAGAAAAGGTTAAGTAAAAATTTTGCTTAACAGAAATTCATATGACTGCTAATCTGCTTGACCCCAAGTATCAAGGAAGATATTTATATGGGGAACAAAAGGTAAGTTAATAGTAATTTTAGATTTGAAAAAAGAAAAATTAAACTTAATTTTAATTTTCTACACTTTTTAACAGATTGATGCATGTGAAATAATCCATTCAATTGCTGTAAATTTGTCTAATATCAAAATAGATATTATGATTTCTGATTTAGCAAATTACCAATGTAAAGGAGGTGTTTTTCCAAAAAGTTTTTTATGGACAGCAATTGACTTAACATTTGTTCTAAATTGGTGGAAGGGATTATGTTTATCTACTGAATTATCTAAAGTAGCAGCAAAAATTCTTCAGCTTCCAGCTACAAGTGCTGCTTGTGAGAGAAGTTTTAGCTATACAAATATTCACAATGCCAAAAGAAACATATTGACAAATAAAAGGGCAGACAAATTAGTGTTTGTATCACAAAATTTAAGATTGGAAGCAATTGATGTGTCAAACAGAACAACCAATCTTGCGTAAAGAATCATTAAATACATCAGATGAATCTCGTGAATCAATCAATAATTCAGATGACTCACTAGATCCAGAATTATCTGAACTTTACAATCATGATTCTTCAGGAGATGAATTTTAAAAAACAAAACCCGAAATAAAACTGTTTTTTTCTATTGAATTTTGAATTCAAATTTTTACTGAATAAAAATTTGAAAACAATACCAAACCCATAAGCAATGGGATACCTAAGTTAGGTATCCCATACATAATAATAAAGTAGTCTGTGGTTACATAGTACATAAAAAAAATAACTGTTGTTTGTTATCTAATTTTAAATAATAGTGAAATTTGGTTCGCCATTTTACTAATCAAAAAGATCTATATTTTCTTAGCTCTTTTGCTAATATCTCTGGTCTCACAAAATTAGTAAACCTTAAGAATGTGTTACAGTCCAAAAAAATCCAAACCCAAACCAAAAGAACCCGTTTTTTTGGATGAAAAAAACGTGACAGCAAAAAACCCAATTTTTTTGCAACACTATATATATATATATATATATATATATATATATATATATATATATATATATATATATATATATATATATATATATATATAGCAATTTAGATAATTCTAATTCTAGCAAATTTGACATAACTGTCGACCTGAAAGTGTTTGAGGTTGGCTAAAAATTGCCGACTTTGTTTCTATATTTTATAGTAAACTGACCTTATGCAGACCTCTAACAATTTGAGGTCGGCAATTTATTGCCCACCTTACTTTTTCTAATTACGAGGGTTTTTATTTTAGATTTTAACAATTTTGTCAACATTTTCGATACAGCTGTAACTTACAGTGTTTCTGTTAAGAACTTTTTAAATAAATAAACAATTAATTCAATTACCAATATAAAGTATACAAGCAATTGTAAACTTCAAGATTTTGAAACTAAAGTTATTATCACAAGGAAATTAGTTTCTTTCAAAAAAATATATAAACAAGTCTGATTAAACAAAAAAATAAAAAAAATTAAAAAAATTTTCCAACAATTTTTTAGAAGATACGTTAGCTGAAACTTACCTATTAAAAAAATACAGAAAAATATCTTTGTTCCCTTAAAATACACTATGTATAAAGTGATATTTTTAAACTTTAGTGATTCTTCCTTACGATTCCACTATAACTTAATTTAATTTTATTCCTCAAAGTTTTTAGTTTTTTTTATTTCAGTTTTTATAAATATTACTTTTTTGTAAATTTTAAATACTTATTGGTAAATTTTAACATTAGCCTATAATAAAATCATATAAATTAATGACAAAACAACAATATAATTAAAAAAAGTCAAAATGTTGAAATTTGATGCTATCATTGATTTTTTGCAGCTGATTGTTTTATCTCTTTGCCTGTTTGCAACATTCCTTGTTTGCGCTCTTGTTATTATATTGTCTTTTGATTATTACAATTTCTTTGAAGCATTTTGAAAAAAAAAACTTTTTAAAGCTATTTATGCCATGTTTTATTCCTTTAAATAAAAATTATAAAAAACCTTTGCTCTTTGAGTTTCCTCATCTAAAAGAACAGCAGGTGCAGAACTCAATTTAGGATCTTTCAGCAAATCGTGGCTACTTACAATGCGCTGATTCTAAAAAATTACAAAACATGTTAAAATTCATTTATGAAAAAGAGACAACCTACCTGCTAAAAATCAAGAAAAAATAAACTTGCATTAGCTAACTCATTTGTTTCATCTTCTTCAGCCTCTTCTCCAAATGAAAGAAGTTTAAAATTTCTTTAAAAAAAATTTATTACAAATATATATAATATAGATATCTTATAAAATAAAATAGAAAAAATTAAAAAATACTTTGTTGCTTTTGATTGGCTCTTAATTTTTGATGAATCATTTATTTCGTTAACTTCTTTCTTTCTCTTACGAGGTACAATATCATCGAATGGATTAGATAACACCTAATTTTATACATATAAATATATATATATATATATTTACATCTATACATATAAATACATCAACTATATCTATATCTATATATCTATATCTATATATCTATATATCTATATCTATATATCTATATCTATATATCTATATCTATATATCTATATCTATATATCTATATCTATATATCTATATCTATATATCTATATCTATATATCTATATATATATATATATATATATATATATATATATATATATATATATATATATATATATATATATATATATATATATATATATATATATATACTAGCTGTCCGGACCCATAAAATACGGGTCTTATTCAATCTATTCCACACCGACTTTTTCTATAGTTATTCCTTATTTCAATATTTTTTAGTTGGCGGCAGAAAAATAACTCTATCCATATACAGAAACTATACTTGTTTATTTTTTAAAGTTTTGAAAAAAAAAAGTTTAAATAACTTTAAATATCTTTAAACGTTTTGGTAGCTGTTGCCCGAATCGCTATTTATCAACTAATTAGATATTAGTAGCTGTCTAAATAATATTTAGAATACCCGCTTGAAATGTCTTAATTAACAACCAATGGTTTATAAAATTTAAAAAAACATGAGATGACTTAAATATGTGGAATAGCGGACTTACCATGACCTGTATACTGGTCATTATAAGTCTAATCCACTCCAACCATTTTAATAATTTTGCTTTATTTTAATAAGTTTAAAAAAAAACAAAATATAAAAAACTTTGTTTTGAGTTAACAATTTATGTTTAATACTATATAACTTCTACAAAAATAAAAATAAAAAAAAAGCGGGAAGGGGCTTGATTATTTTTTTCTTTAATAAGTTTCTTTTTTTTTTTTCAGATTAACTGCAGTTTATTATGTCTCTTGCCCAGTCAATTTTGAAGAAAGTTAAAGTTGGCATATAAAATCTTTTTTTTATAAGAAAGAAAGCTGTCTCTGTTAAATGTGTTCTGCATGTTAAACACGAAAGCTAATTACTTAAGCACATTAACAACATGATCATCATAAACAATAATAAATTAATTATAAGCACATAAACTTTTTGTGTGCTTATAATTAATCTTTATCTCTATCATGACATATGTGCAAAAAAATTTGAATGGTGTTTTCATGTTTTTAAAAATTTTAAAAAGCTTTTTAAAATTCTCTCCCTTTCATTTGTTATAGTATGTTTGTAAGTGTTATAGCATCTTTACAAAATTTTCAACTAATATAACATCATCAAACAAAATAAGTTTTTCTAAATTCAATTCTAAAATTTATTAACAGATTTTCAACTTTCAACTAATTTTTGAATCTAAAATTAGTACTAGCTTTTGTCCAAATTCATTTTTAGAATAAAATATGTAAGTATGTATATATGTAAATATGTATTCACTTTTAAGCTAATACTAATGTTATAAAAAATAAGCAGAAACACCAGTTGTTATGCAAAATACATCAGAGGAAAGACTTAAATTGTATTTAGTACATTGTATGTAGTCGTTGATATTGCTAATGTAAAAATTTTAATAAAATTCTAAATAATTTAATAAATACTTTGAATTTTAAATAAATTGCAGTAAAAGGTCTATTAAATACCAAAGGTAAATGAAAAGCAACTCCTTATTTTGGAGTTACAAGTTGATTTTGGAGTTACAAATTGATTTTGGAGTTACAAGTTGAATTCGGAGTTACAAGTTGATTTTGGAGTTACAAATTGATTTTGGAATTACAAGTTGATTGCCTTTTTTAAGAAGAGTTTTTTTAAGATTTTTTTGCCTTTAAGATATAAGTTTTTTTGACTATTTTTTAATAGAAAAAAGAAAGAGAAAAAATTTTCACTGGAATGGAATTTCAATCTTTGATTTTTTGAAAGAAATCTAATAAAAAACAAACAAATTACTTGAAAAACTAAGCAATTTAAATATATTAATATGCAAACCTCAGTAGAAATAATTTTTGGAGGAGATAGTGGGCGATCATTGCTATCGACATCAATTTCATTAAAACGAATCATATTATAAATAGTGTTTCCAGTAACCTAAAAAAAAGTAAAATTTTATTATATATTATAAACATTTAATCATAGTAGTATTTAAATAATTTAAATAATTAAAATTTAAAGACAACAGGTGAAATATGAATAATAAACTCTTTTAAAAAAACAAAACAAAGTAATTCTGTGTTTAACATATCAAAATAAATTTAACAATTTTTTATTTAATTATTTATTAATAAGAGCAGGAAAAGATATCAATTATACAACCCTCGGAATTAGGGTCATCATTCGGCAATGCCAACCTAAAAGTGTTTGAGGTCGGCAAATATTGCCGACCTCGTTTCTATGTTTTATGGTAAGACCTTTGTATCAATTTTTTTTGCCGACCTCTATAAGATTGAGGTCGGCAAATTATTGCTGACCTTATTTTTCCTACTTCTGAGGATTGATTATATAATTATTTGGATAACATTTTTGATGATCTTGGGTCACTAAAACCATCAATAATATTGTTTATAAATCTTGTTAAAATGGAGTATTTTTTCAATATCCCATTGAACCATACCATAAATAGTACTTTCCTCACTGAGTAAAGTGAAGCTATGAAAAAATTTTACATTTTTTTTTTTTTTTTTTTTGTAAATTAACTTTTCTCAGGATGAGAACACAATATCAAAAAAAGCATTCATTTAAAAATACAATATTATTCTGTTTGTACATTTATAGGAAAAAATTAACCAAAAAATTCTAAGACTTGAATGCTTTTATTTTTTATTAATAATAAGCTTAAACGAATTGTGACAAAATATATTACTTATTTATTAATATACTTTTTTAAGCATGGTAACTCTTTTAAGGACTATAACCATATTATTCTTTCAAATATTTCAATAAACCAAACTAAGTCATAAAAAACATATAAACTGAGAATTGAAAATGGATTTTTTTAAATTAAACTAACAGACACATTAGCACATCTATTAAAAGTGTCTTCACTTTGTCAATTATATTTATGCAGGTGTAGATATTTAAATTTTTAACATCTTAAAATATAAAAATCTATATTTCTTTACATGAAGTTGTCTAGTACATTTTTTTTTTTTAATTTTTAATTCTCAGATTAAACATTAGTGATTGAATAAGTTTGTTAATAAGTGATATTATTACTATATTAATTTTTTGCTGGTATTTTTTATTTATTTAATAACTGTGTACATGACAATGTACGGAGCCTAGTTGATCTAGGCTTTAACAGCGGATTTATGTTTAAAATAAGTCCAACTTTGATTTTTTAAGAAAATTGTTTAAGTGTTTTAGAATCTACAATGTTTTGATCTAAGTTATTCCAGCTGTTAATAACACGGTTTGTTAAGAAATAGTACCTCTTTGGATTTTTAGTTAATTGTCTATGAAACCTCACATTGTGACCTCTCATATTTAAAGCTATCAAATCTGGTGGGTATTCCAATGTTAAATTATCTATTTTTTTTACTATTTTGTTTTGTTAAGTTGGATTAGGTCATTACGTTTGTGTCTTTTTTCAAGAGTCGTTAATTTAAAGTAGGTTAGTCTACTTTTATAGTTTTTTCCTTGAAGACATTTTATTCGTGTTACTTTACGTTGTATCGATTCAATTTTTTTTAAATCTTGTTTTAAGTAAGGATACCACACTGAATTTGCGTAGTCTAGATACGGTCTAACAAGAGAGGTGTACAATAATTAAGATGCCTTTATGTCTAGGTTTTTAAATGAATGTTTTATTATTGCTAACATTTAGCTTTACGAGACACATAATTAACTTACTAGACCATTTTAAGTTGTTTGAAATCATAACTCCTAAATCTTTTTCTATTTTGGTTTCTGGTAGCTCAACTCTATTTAACACTGAACCATACATTGTGTATATATGCTTAGTATTTTTGCTACCTATATGTATGCGTTTACATTTGTTGACATTAAATTTCAATAGCCTTTATTGTGACCATGTCATTAATTTGTTTAGATCTGTTTGAGTCTTTTCTATATGAGAAGATGATCTATTTATGTTAATTAGTTTAATATCATCAGCATACATTTTACAGTTCGTTGATAACTCATTCGGTAAGTCGTTTATATAAACAATAAACATAAACAGATCCAAGACAGACCCTTGCAGTACTCCACTTGTAACTGGAGACCAATTTGAAAATTTGCCATTGCAGACAACACGTTGCACTCTGTTACATGCACCATCTAACTGCTTAAAAGTTAAAACCATAATTTTTTAGTTTAAGACACAATCTGTTGTAAGCCACAGAGTCGAAAGCTTTTTTTATATCCAGGAAAATAATATCTACTGATAAATTATCTTCTATTGCTTGAGTTATTAGATCCATAGATTCTATAAAGTTTGTACAACAGTTTTTTTTTTTTTAAATCCATGCTGTTCCTTAGTCAAGAGATAGTTATTTTCTAAGTGCGACATAAACGTAGCTATTAATATACGTTCCATTACTTTACTTATAACTGAAGTAAGTGATATTGGTCGATAACTCAATGGTTCCGAATTATCTCCACTTTTAAAAAATGGTGTTAGATTAGCATTTAACGAAATCGATGGAATTATTCCTGTATCATACGATTTATTAAAAATAATTGATAAAGGAAGGAGAACGTATCTGCGCAACAATTTAGAGGAAATGGGTGAACTCCATCTACTCCTGTACATTTATTTGGATTTAGTGACTTCAGGATTATAGAAACTGTGTCCGGTGAAAATGTAGGGTCCTCACAAATAATGTTTGTCCTATTTTTAAAGAATGGTATACTGTCACTAATTTCATTGGTGAAAACAAAGTTAATATAGTTATTTAAGGAATGTGCTATTGATAAATAATTTGTTTCAAGATTGCCGTTTACATTTAATGCGTTAATACCTTCTTTAACTTTTGATTTTTTGTTTATATATGCATAAATTGCTTTTGGTTTTTTTTATTAACGTTTAAGGCGATAGTATTTTCATATAATTTAATTTGGTTCTTAATTTCTTTTTTTACTTTTTTTCTAATTGATTTGTATTCTAATACATTTCCTTTGTTTAAAAAATGATTATGTAAACATTTTCTCCAGAGGTTTCTTTTCTTTCTAATTAACTTTTTTAAGTTAGAGTTCAACCAAGGCACTTTTGTTTCAACAACTCCCTTTGTAATTGTTGGAATGAAGTATATAAGTCCTTTATTGTAAATATTGACAAATTTGTTGTATGAAACATTAGCATCTAAATTCAAGATGCCAGTCATAGCTATTTAACATATCAGAAAAGCCATTATAATTGCCGTGTTTGTACAGAGTTATATTTTTTTTTACTGTTTCTGTTTTTTATTAATTATTTCTAAAGATATATAAAAACTTTAGGATCTGATGACCGTGACTAAGTGCACCCAAATTATCAAAATGGTTCAAATAAATTATTCTTTTGTTTGATTCTGTTAATATTAGGTCAAGAACATTAGTGGATTTAAATTCATTAATTTGAAAAATTGGTTTAATTACGTTTTGTGTTATAAAACAATCATTTAAACATTTTAAGAACTCTTTAGCAGAAATGTCTAAATTATTAATAAGTTCGCCGATGTTTTTTTTATTCCGTTTAATAAAAAAATAGTTAAAACCTCCACAATCAATAGTCCGGAATACTTACTTTTTATCAATAGATTGTAACTTCGTTTAATTGAATTTATTATTTTTAGATTTAGTTAATAGTCAATTGTGCCTGGCCTATAAATACATCCGCAAAGTATCTTTTCATTGCCAATATGCAATGATGTTCAAACTTGCTCTAAGTCGTCATCATTTAACATTTTATCAGAAACTGTAACAGATTTAATATTTTCTTCGACATATATGCATACTCACCCTCCTCCTTTACCTATTCAATCTTTGCAAAATATTTATTATATTTATATTATAACCAATCTTTGCAAAATATTTATTATATATTTATATTATAACCGGGAACATTACTTAATGACATTTCATTAAACCATGTTTCACTGATAAAAAGTATCTGTGGGTGAGATGTGACTATTTCAGCAATAAATTCATTGTATTTACAATTTAACGATGTAGCATATGTATACCAACATGATAAGAAATTTTCTGTAACGTCGTTATTATTAATTGTTGGTTTTTTTGTATTTTAAGATAATACATTTATTGACTCAATTGATTTTGACTCGTAATTTTATTTTTTTAAATACTTTATTGAAGGTTTTTTTGTTCCTGTCCATTGATTTTTGATAATCAATTTTGTTAATCTTATAGTTTTTTGGTAATTGCTATACAGTGATTTTTACTACTCGATCATATCTGATACTAAAATAATAATTATTTTCATTTCCTTGTTTTCTTTCAGTGTTCATTCGGTGACATTCTTTTCTTAAGAGTTTTGTCTGCTTGTCTTTCTGCTTCTGTAAGATCAGGATTTATAAATACTTTCGAGAACGAGTCGTCATCTATTAATTCTTTTGATGACTTTATAACTTTATTTCTTTCATGTTTATCTTTTAAGACAATAATAAAAGGTGGTTGATTTTCATTCCTTGTTTTTAACTTTATAATGTGTTCTATATTAACATTTGTATCAATTTTGTGAAAAATACTTATCACATTTTTTTTATCCTCGCCAAATGCATTTTTATTATTAGATGCTGCTAAACTAAAAATAATTACATTTTTTCTCTCGCATTTTTCATTCATTTGATTGTTTGGCTACTGCATTAATCAGGTTAAGTTGATTTATTGATTTTCTCTTCTGTTTACACTTTACAACATCAATCTAAAGCTCCTCATTACCTCTTACATCATTACAATTTTTATCTTCTAACTTTTTTATTAGTTCTTCTATTTGTTGTTTTTTTTCTGTTAACTGGTCGTCTTTAGCTTTGATTGCTTTTTCTAAAGCTGATACTTTTTTTTCTAGAGCCTCAAAGTCAGCTTTTAATACCATAATATTAAAAATTTATAAATTTTTTCTCCTCCTTATTAAAATGTATGTCAAATTTTTTTTTAAATTATTGCTGAAAAAAAGTAAAATGATTTCTTTTTTGTCACGACTGCGACATAACAGTTATTTCATGTTTAAATGGGTTGTTTCAATGTTTAGATGTATCAACATAGCTGATTTAATTTTAAAAACTTTATTTAAAACACGTGTTATAAAGAGTAATTTAAATAGATAAAACTGTGCATTTAAAGGTCAACAGTAATAGTTATGAACTAATTTAAAATATCATTTTTTTGACATATTCTACATAACAATACAGATAGCATTTTAATATAAAAACAATGCTCAAATTGCACAAACAAGTTTGTAGATACAAATAAAAAATAAAGTAATATTTATCGCCAACAATCAATCGCAGAGCTTGAATTAAAAAAAAGGAGGTTGCTAAATTATGACAGCGTAAACACAAAGATCTTCAAAAACCTCTATGTATCATTGATATATATACATATATATATATATATATATATATATATATATATATATATATATATATATATATATATATATATATATATATATATATATATATATATATATATATACACATACATTTAATTTTTAATGCTAATTCACCTTCCCAAGGCTGAGAAGGCCACTAAAGTCAACGTTACTTTAACTGTGGTTGCTGTATATTGTGCTTAATTTGCTTTATCAAAGTCACCACAAAAAGCAGATAATGTCATTAAACAACTTGCAAAAAAAAAAAAGATTTACTAGATAAAAAACACATGTTTATCTTCTGGTGTATTCAATCAGGTACTAGAGTTTTACAACTGCGTTAAAATATCTCGATAGATTTCAGGTATGTAAGACTTTCTAAAAATTAATGGTAAAAAATAACAATACTTGTTACTTAAATAAGGCAAATACTATTTCCACTATGCAGAAGAATTTGGTAGCAAAATAAAATTTTCCAAATTTTGTGCACTTCGTCTAGCTCAAATACTCACATATTCAGAGTTTCTTGAAACCTGCTGTTGTCATGGCAACTTCTATTATCTAATTCATGAAAATTTTATTAATATATACAATGTATTATTCTCAAAACTTAATTTTGAACCTAATTACTCAAGCTGGGTAAATAAATGAAATCTTTGCAATCCTTTCACACTAAATGGCCTCTTACTTTGATGTAGTTTTTGTACCAACTGTCCTATCAACTGAATGCTACCATCATCTGATGAGCGAAGTCAGTTACATAAATTACAAAGTATAATTAAATTATAATAAATAAATTACAAAGACTAAGTTACAAATCGTCAACAGCAGGGATTGATCAAACAGTCTTTGTATGCAATATATACAGAGTTTTTGAAAATGCTTAATGCTGAAAATTTTAGATTCCCCATTCAACTAAAAACCAGTCGTCTATTTATTGCCACCAAAAAAGTGACTTTATAGATGGTGAACTAATAATACACTTTGATTTTAGCCAAAGCTTTAGCTGTAACTTGTTAATCAAAAACATATTCAAATTATTATGCTTATGTTTTGTGTAATTTTGTTTACCTTCATTAAAACGTATATAGTTTAATATAACATTTTTCTTTTTTTTTTAATTTTATTGATATTGTATAATAATATATATAATAATACACTTCAGTTTTAGCCAAAACTATAGCTGTATTCATCAAGAACAAGTTCAAAGTGCTTATTGGAGATCTCAAATAATATCTTCACTGTTGCGATTTATGGTAAAGGTAAAATAAATATGGTTGCTTATTTAACAGATAAAAATGATCACAGCAAAATATTTCATTGTTTTCATTAAAAAAACTTCAAGGTATTTTTCTTAAACAGTCCAATTTTTATATCTTTTATATATATCTTTGAGTAGTGCAAAATATTTGTAATATATTTTTTAAAGACTTATGGAACCAATACGCAAACATATTCAAAGTAACATTTTGGAGTAACATTTGGTCCATCTTCTCAATTTAAAAACCACTTTATAGTGAAATTCTAGTCAGCTATGAGATATTTTATTATTAACAGAAAAGGTTGAAAACATGTGACCTTAATATTTCTGGAGAATTAAAAATAAAGCTTTTAGCATGAAAAATATATCACCACCATCAGACAACTAACACAGCAAACAAACAATTGTTACTTAATATATATTGACCTGCTAAGTTAATTTAAATATGCCTCAAATATTGCAATTTAATAAAGTAATTTGTTACAAATTTTTGTTAAAAACCTGTTTATTTTTTATTTTCCTAAGAATAACTAAAAACTTTGTGTAAAGAGTTTATATATTTTTAAAAAATTTTAAAATTGCTAAGATATACATTGAAAAGACCTAAAATGTAATGTTATCTGATAGTAAAATATTTTGTCACAGCCGCTATGTTCACATTGTCATGAACACATGTCCACAAAACCGTTACTTTTTGCTAGTTGTCTTTTTATGTTAAACATGAACAAAAAATGAAAAATAATTATAATATACTTGCTCTAAAAAAGAATTTTAAAATATTATATTAATTTGTTTAAAGATTTAAAAGTTTTCTATAAAAAATAGCTAGCAATTTCAGTTTCATTTTTTGTGGCTGTCACAACAGCAACTAATTTCATTTTGACACACCAATGCATCTATAGCATAAATTATACTATAAATTTTTCATAAAGTATTATATGACCAAAAGTACACATTACCAAAAAAAAAAAAAAAATTATTTGATTCCTTGTTTATATTTTCATCTTTTGCAAATGTCACAACCCCGACTATATTGAATGAACCTAAATAACTTTTTATAATCAATGCTACTTTTATAATATATTTAACTTTTTATAATGATACTGCTCTTGAAATAACTACCATTTTAAAAGTTAAAAGTTTTCATATTTAATGCAGTTTAATAAAAACATAAAAATCTGCAAATTTTAAAAATAGTTCTCTTTACATCTAAAGTTTAAAAAATTATTTTTAATATAAATTATTTTTTAAAATAATTTATTTTTAAAATAAATTAATTTTTTTTAAATGAACTATTTTTTTAAAAATAAATTAAGTAAACAATAAATTAAATAAATAATAAATTAAGAAAATAACAAATTAAGCAAATAAATTTTTTTTAAATAAATTAATAAGTAAATTAAGACCTTTCCAAATATTGTATGCTTTTTATTTAACTCATCAGCACGATCAAGTGTGAAGAAGAACTGACTGTTATTATCATTTGGACCTGCATTTGCCATAGCAACTAAACCTCGACGATTAAATTTAAGACGTTGATGAAACTCATCCTACAAATTAATTTTTTTTTTTAAAGTTTTAATAACATGATTCATTAGACTTTACATATTCAGGCATGGACAGGAATGGAGTGCAATCGCACTCTGTAACTGACCACGCTATTATATTTTTTTATTTACAACTTGACCACGGCTTTTACACATTTTATGTGAATCATTCAAGAATATAAAATAATTTTATTTACTTATATAAGCATGTATTTTGTTGATTAATGGAAAAGTTTTGAAGCATTTTGTAATATTCATACAATTAATTTTTAAAATTAAACTTGCAATTTTTTAAAATCTTAAACAAAATTTTATTTTTTGAAAAATTATTTATTTATTTTTTTAATTACGATAGGAACGAATGAATTTAAATCTTTTATAATAATTTTTAAATTTGTTACGCGAAATGCTTATTAATAGTTGTAATGCTCAAATTAAGATTAAATTAAATTGCTTGTTGGCATTTTATTTAAATCGCAAGAGAATTTTATTTACTTATTGTTCTCCTATTTATACGTATAAAAAAGTTGAAAAACTTTTTTTATCTAGACTTATTAATTAGAGCATGAAATTACTAAAAATTACTATTTTAAAAAGACAACGTTATTTTTTTAAACAATTTTTTGTTTTTTTGCAATTTTTTTTGACAAAATGTTTATACAATTTGAAAATATTATATACAACACTTTTTAATAAATTTGATAAAATTTGTTCATTTATTAAACACTCATTAATAGCAATTTGTAACTTAATTTAAAAGCGTTTTGGGTAACTTTAATATAACGTTTAAAAAGATTTAAACATAATTAAAAACGTAATAAAAAGTTTCGCTTCAAATTTAAGTTTTTATATTTTATTTTTATGCTAGTGATTATAAAATTTCTTTTTCGTAAAGAATTTTTACTTGTTTCTTTTTTCGTTAGGAATTATTTTTTTGTTAGTTTCTTTTTTTAACTTTTTTCCTAATTTAAGTTTGCTCAGGGTTTCTACATTTCTGAAATGTTTAAATCATCAAAACATTTAAACCATCGTGGTCAAGTTGTCAAAAAATAAAATCATTTGTGTGGTCAGCAATAGCGCTCGATCGCACGCCATTCCTGTCCAAGCCTGGATATTCTAAACAAAATGATTTCTTTTCATATATAAACCTACCTTAAAAGGTTTTCCAAAAACAGATTCTCCGCCTAAAAAAAAATATTAAAAAAGCTTTATCAATTATATTCTTGTAATAAATTTATAAAACAAGTTTTGAATTTAAATTGAAATCTTTGTGTATTTATTATCCAAATAACATATTATTTTTTATTTTCGTTTCTGTTGCTACTTTACGTTACCTTATTATTTAGCAAAAAAGTTAGAGTATGGTTGCTAATATAAATCGATACCCATCAACATTAAACCCCGGCTTAAAATGAGACTTTTTTCAAATCTGGCACTGGCCAGATTTGAAAAATTTATAATTCTTTATATATTATAATTTTATACTTACATTTACTATTTATTAAATTCTGGCATATATTTATGCCTGTATTTGAAAAAATAACAAAAACAAAGACCATTTATATAGACATTTTAATGTATAGAACCTAAAAAATGTGTGTGCATATGGTAATTATGTGTGCAAAAATGGTGCATATGTTAGTATTTAGGCCAATAAGATCTAAATGCTAACATATGCACCAGAATCATAAATAGGTATAATGATATCAAAGTACTTTGGAGGGTCTCAGTATTATGTTCAAACTTCAATAAAAGTTTATTCATCTCCTACTCAGGAGATGTAAACAGTCTTACACCTTATATGACCATACATTTTTTTTTGACAATTTGGCCATGGTTTTTTTCAAATATTGATAATTTGCATGTTTTAATATACTTTTAAACTAATATACTTTTTAATTTAGAATTAAAAGTTCAAACTTAATTAAATTAAAAGCATTTAATAGTTTGAAGCTAATAATTTTCCCATATCGCCACATTAATGTAGCGCATAGGTTGATTGTGTTATTTGTGAAGCGTGATTGTTATAAAAACCTAATTCTACTGATATAACAAATATAATTCTAGCCATTTGATATTGCTATTTGATGGTCCAAATATTTTATAGATAAATTTTGAATGCCAAGTAATGTTGCTTATTGAATTGTTAGACAATTTTGTTTTCCATGTACATTTTCTTTAAAATATTAATTTTTGCTATGTTGACAAATTACAAATTTATAATTCTTTTAAACATATTTGTATACCAAACATTTAGGTATATAAAGATGGTTAACTTTTACAATTTTATCTATTTAGCGAGTAAATTTTCATTTAGTGAAAGCGCTTGTTTTCATATGTACTTCCATTTCATATATTTTTACATGTACTTCCAGTGAAAGCGCTTGTTTTCATATGTACTTCCATTTAGTGAAAGCGCTTGTTTTCATATGTACTTTCATATGTAGCAAAAAATTTTGAAATTAAACTTTCAAAACACTATATTTTGATAAAGTACTTGCAAAATAAACATCAACAATTTTTAATGTTTTGTTAAACTTGGTACAAAAAAAAAAAAAAATTCCTCGTTATAAAAATCCTTTCAAAAGAATTTTAATTTTTCAGAAACTTTTAAGTTAACAACTCTAGTGTATACATGCTTATATACAATAGCATATACGAAAAAAATATACTTAAGTGCTTAATGCACTTATAACTGAATATATAAATGCATAGATGGATAAACCATAATCAAGCTTGTAGATATAATTTTACTAGGGAACATTTTTAGTAAACTTTATATAACAAATTAATAAGAAAATAATTTTTTTTAGTTTTGAAATTGCTTTTTAACAAAAGTTTTTTTTTTTTTTTGTCATCATTAATTTTTTAGGCTGATCATAGAATGAACCTTGATTAAAAATGATTAACTAGTTTATGAGTAGTATGCAAAGATGTTGTTAAAGACAAAATGTTTTAAAAAATTGTTGATAGTTTTTTTAACCGTTAAGAAATTCACCCATAAACAATTGTCTTCTTATTGAAAAAAAAAACATTAAATTGTGAGAAATCAATAATGCGAGAAGACAATAATGTTGCATGTTATGAATGTTTTAAGAAATTGAAAAATAATATAAATTTAAATAAACATATGTTTTTTAAAATAAAGAAACATTTTTTTTCAAACAACATATTTAAATTTCATTTTATAAATTAAACATAAAATTTTACTTTATGTTAAATTTAAAGACATTTTATAAATATTTTATAAAGATAAAGACTATAAATGATTTTTAATGTGGTTTTAAATTAAGGTTAATTACAATAAGGTACTTTAAAATACGCAACTGAAATAATTTAACTTTTAATGATGTAGATATGTATATTGATTTAAGTTGCATTTACTTGAGTAATGCTTTTCCATTATGCAACAAAATCTCATAACAAGGCCTGTATATATAAATATCATGGTGTTAGACAGCCCAATGACACAGCATATACAGCGGAATTTTTAATGGGTTTAATATATATATATATATATATATATATATATATATATATATATATATATATATAAACACTTACTAAAGCGTGTTTTGATAAGCATTTGCTCACTTTTTTTGCTTACCTTAAGCCATACCATTTTTTTCAAAAAAGAAGAAAAAAAAACAAAGAATGATGAATGAAACGATTGCTGCCCCATCTCAAACCCTCAGTCAATGTAGCAGCACTCCACTGCGAGTCAAGCTATTTGTCAGTCGATGTATGTATTGAAGCCCCTAGCAGCAGGCTATTTCAGTATGACGTCAGATTGCTGACGTCATACTGAAATAGCCTGCTGCTAGGGGCTTAAAAAAATAAAATTATTGAAATAAATACTATTTGTATATATATACATGTATATATATTTATATATATGTATATATATATATAAGTATACATAAATAAATATATGAAGTATACACTTATATATTTATATATGTATATATATATATATATATATATATATATATATATATATATATATATATATATATATATATATATATATATATATATATATATATATATATATATATATATATATATATATATACAGGGCTGGAAATAGCTGCCGGACATCAGACATTGTCAGACTGGTCTGGTAAAAATCATCATAAATCGGTCATTTTGTCCGACTAATATTTTGTGTGAATTTTTCTTATAATTATTTTAGTAATTTAAAAGTTATTGAAATGTTCAGTATATTATATATAAACTTTCTTTATTATTTTATTTTTTAACAAAAAATGCACAAGAAAACTAAAGAATACACAATGTGATGAAGTTTGTCATTCTTTGAGATAATTTAGAAAAAGTGGAAACAATATTATGCTGCAAGAATTTTATTTAATGAGCAACGCTTTTTTATCGGGGGTTAACATAAACACATTTCTTACATTTTTCCTTTTCATTTTAAAAATAGCTTCTCTGTTAATATTATTATTTTGTAAAAAATAAAATTTAATTCAACATGTTACATTTTTAATAGTTTTCTGTTTACTGTGGATTTGATTTTGAAACTTGAATTGAATTTGAAATTTTCGTAAGGTAAATCTATTTGTTACTTTTAATTAAACTAATTTCTTATCTTATTAAATTTTGTAAACAGAAGTTTTAAATTTAACAATAAGTATATTATTAAAATATTTGTAATGATAATGTGTTGTCATTATTCTAACCTAGGGCATGATATTGAAAAAAAATGGAAGCAGCTTGCTCTGTTTGTTGTGAAAAAAATACAAAGTATACGTGCATGAAATGCGCTGTTTTCGTTTGCAATATTTGTGCAACTCCGGGAAAAACTGTCGACTTATCTTATAGTGAGGAAATTGAAAATTGAGAATTGTCTTATGTTCAAGGTGTTCAAATGTTGAGCCACCAAAAAAAAAAAATTCAAAAAACTATATTTTCTTTGTTTAAACCACTTTTAGAACACTCGCCTGCAGCTAAGTCCATACATGAAAAATATGCCAAAGAAGAAACAAGAAAGATTACGGCAAATTCTTGTAAAGTATAAGTATCGGCAGTAGAAACTTGGAAGTCAGAGCTCACTGAGTATTCACTTAGCGAATGGCTTTTTTATGACATTGATTCAAATGAAAAAGTAAAAAACTTAAAATGCAAGTTTTGTATCGAGTTTAATGATACAATAAAAACTATGCCATACTATATAAATACATTCATAGTTGGATCAGCAAACTATAGAAAATCGAATATTCTTGATCAATGTAAGTCTCAACCGCACTTAAAAGCATACACTATTTTTCTTAAAAAATCTAATAATTTTCCAAATGCATTTAAACCTTTATTGCCCTGTAAAAATAACGCAACAATCACTGATAGTTTGAAAAAAATGGAAAAAAATGACCTTGAAAAAACCCTTTAAAAATTTCAACTTTCTTACTTTATAGCAAAACAACAGTTACCTATTTCAAAGTTTGTTCCAACTGTTAAATTAGTTAAACTTTTCGGTATAAATATGGGCGAATCCTATATTTCGGATCGCCAATGGGTTGTATTTATTGACTATATTGCAAGAAGTCTGCAAAATTCGTTACACGATAGTCTTAGAAATGCTAAATTTTATAGTGTATTGTGTGATGGTTCAACAGACAGTTCAGCTATTGAAAATGAAGTGGTGTATGCACTATATTGTAGATATATACTATATATATCCACATTTATATATATAAAGATTGCAAATTATATGAATCAGGAAAGCAAGATGAAGGAAGTGAATTCCAAAGAACTGATGTTCGAGGAAAAAAACTAGATGAATAAGAGTTTTTGGAGCACTTAGGAACAGTAACAGAAAAAGGATGAGATTTTATTGAATGACGAGTAACACGAGAATGAATTTTAGATGGCAAAAGAGACGCTAGCTCTTTAGAGCAATGCCCATTATATTATTTGTAGAAAAAAGAAAGAGAAGCAACATTACGATGATGTGATGTATTAAATTATTATTTAGGGATAAACATATATTTTAAAACAATTTAAAATCAATTAAAAATTTTGATATGCTATTTATTTACAATTTTTATCAGTCCGTATAATAAAGAAAAAAAATTTCTATATACGCAGAACTATGACAAATTTTGTTAATTTTTTTTCTTATCTTTATTCACTTTCACATCTTTTTGCTTTTAAAAATATTTTTGATATACTTGACGCTTTTTTTAAATACTTTTTCAAAACTTTTTTTCAATAATATAAAATGAAAATGAGAAAATAAATTGCTATTTATTTATAAAATATATTATTTGATTGATAAATTTTGTAATGACAGATGAAATTAAATAAAAGAATAGCATGGTTTTTTTTATAAATATATCTACCACATTTGATGCCTCTCTGAAATTGTTTCTATTATATTGCCCAATTTCCATCGTTAATACGAATAACTAGAGATAACTTTATAGTTATCTATGAACATAACAATTTAAAAAATTTTAAAATTTAAAAAAATGTATTAGGCTTCTAAAAATTTTGTTAAAAATGTTCAGGTAATTAACAATACACTAGCCCACAAGTTTTTGGAGCATCGTCAATAACAATAGTTTATCAGGAAATAAATTATTGGGTTTAAATGCACAATTTGGAGGACCAAAAGAGAGTGCAGACTATTTCAATGGGTTAGTGAAAACAGACAAATATTTTATACTTGAATATTAGTAGAATTGGTAGAAATTTGAAGATTATTAGAAATAAATGGCAATTAGTTTTTCGCTTTCTTGATGAAGTATATGTTATAATCCAAAAAATGCATAAGCAAAGTAATACTAAATTACCACTTCCTGTCCCAGTTGGATCTCCTCCTTGAGCAATAAAACCTATTTGAAAATGAAAAAAAAAAGGTAAATAAAAATCATTTTTATTAAAGTTATAATTAAAAACAAACTTTATTTTTATAAATTATATATATACTTTAAAAAATCTTTAAAACTTAAAATTCATAACTAAAATCAATTCTTAGCTATAAATTACAAATCTTATATGCAGCACAGTTCACTATACATTCTGCAACTAATTACATAGTTCTACAACATTATACTACCCCTTAAAACCAATAGACACCATCATCATATCAACACTATTTTGTTACATGATCATAAATAAAAAACACCATCACTTACTTTCAACAACACAAAATAACATTTTCTCATACCATTAGTGCCTCTAAACAATCTTTTACATAACATCAGCATGATTAAACACAAATAAAACCACCACAAAAATATTACCATCATCAAAACCTATTTACAAGCATTGGTTATCTTAATAACAATTTAACGGAAGGATTCTAATGTACTAGAATTACAAACAGACTACATGAAAGAATAAAAGCTTTAAACTGACCTAAAACTTATAAACAGAATTTTAAGAGACCAACAGAGCCAAAAAGATTTTTCCCAGACCTTTTATGACTCTATGGAATATAGTATTGTTGTAGTAGCCCTCCATACAAAGTTGTACAAAATTCTGGCATGCTTTTGGTGCTTCTTTTGACCAGAGTTCAATGTCAATATCACCAAGAGAAGTCTTCATAAGTACCTAAAATAAAATATTCGTTATAAATAGAACGAAAAAAACAAAAAAAAACAATAATCTTTTAAAAAAGTTAAAAAAAAAAAAAAAAATGGATGCATATTCTACCTATTTAGTCACTCAATGTATGTCCAAAAGTAAAATAAAGACTTATTAAAGTATGCAATATATATATATATATATATATATATATATATATATATATATATATATCAGGGTTCAATTTTAACTTTTATAAAGTACTGGACAAAAAGTTGATTGGGTTGGATAGTGTCCGATCTGGATAAAAACATGTTTGGGTTGAATAGTGTCCGATCAAATTTTTAAAATATAATTTTTAGAGTTTTACGGAACCGAGTTATGCAATTGAAATCTTTGTCATTTATTGTGAAAATGTTATTTCCGAAAATCTTTTAAAATATTATTCTTTTAAGTTACTTTAAATTATGAATAAGTTAAAGTCTTCCCATGATTTAATTGGTTTAATTTTTTTATTTTTACAAAGAATTGTTTGAAAAAAATTTTTTCTTTAAACTTAACTTGATAATTAAAGCTCATGCTTTAATTATCAAGTTATATGATTAAAAACTACTTTATTTTTACAAACAATTTTTTTTTTAACTTTTTGATAGAAATGTTTATACAACCTAAAAATATTATATTTTTTTCTTTCCAATAATTTAAAATCACTTTTCAATAATTTAAATAGAATTTATTCATCTATTAAAAATCAATACAAGTATTCTGTAAATTAAATGATAAAGCATTTAAGATACAATCAATACAAGTATTCTGTAAATTAAATGTTAAAGCATTAAAGATAAGTTTTAAAATAATTTTTTTCTGATGGAATTAAAAATATAACAAAAAGTAATTTTAAATTCGAGTTTTTTTAGTTGATTTTAAAGCTAATTTATTTTCTTTTTCGTAATGAATTGTTTTGCTTATTCTTTAGTTTTTTCAATTTTTTTCCTAGTTTATGTTTAGCTTAACTTTTCTTTTTTCAGCGCATTTCTGAAACATTTAAATCATCAATATATCTATACAGTTGTGGTAAAACTGTTAACAAGAAAAATTATTTGCATGGTCAGCAATAGCGTTTAATCGCACACCATTCCTATCCAAGCTTTATTTTGTAGAACTTAATTCCCGTCCATCAAAATGTCCAATTACTTTGTAAATTGATTGGATAATCTGAGGCTTTAGCCGAACAATGTCCAATGACCTCCCGCTATTTGAGCTCTGAAAAAAATATATATATTAACTATACAAATATATATATATATATATATATATATATATATATATATATATATATATATATATATATATATATATATATATATATATATAAATATATATATATATATATATATATATTAAAATAAAACTTTTTTTTATGGATTGATTTCTATTTGCAAAAATTATATTTATTTTTACGATGTTTCGAGGGAATATGGATACCCTCGTTATCAAGTATATAAAAACCGTTATAAAAAAACAAAACCGCTATATATATAAAAACTGTTTAAATTAACGAAACAATGTTCTTTGTAAGAGCTTCTTTTTAAGAGAGTTATTTAAGTGAGTTTTTTGTGACGTAAGAATTTAAACATGGGTTTCCAAAATGACGTCGTTACATAACCACCATCATCTCAATTAAGACCATTATCACGAAAGGTACTTTCGTTGAGTTGTATTTCCAAGGCTTCCCTAACTTTCCTATTAAAACTATTTGTTTCGATTTTTAACGTATTGCGACCATTCCAGTTGAATTTTCCTTGGCAAATTTTGGAATGTTCAGCTACAGCTGAATTTTCCCCTTTACCTTGTTGTGCACTTGTTTGATGCTGGCATATCCGAGACGATATCTTTAGTCCAGTTTCACCAACATAACATTTGCCACAAGAGCACTTTAATTTGTAAACACCGGGAAAAGAATTAACTGGTAGTGTAGGTTTATTTTTGGAACTTAGTAGACTTTGGAGATTTTTTGGAGACTTAAACACTGGTGCGTATCCTGCTTTTTTAAAAGCTCTTCTTAACTTAGGACTGATTCCAGGGATCTAGGGTAAAGACACAATTCTTTTTGAAGACTTTAGGAAATGTTGATATATATATATATATATATATATATATATATATATATATATATCAACATATATATCAATATATATATATATCAATATATATATGTGTATATATATATATATATAGGGTAAAGCGGGGCATTAAGCCCCATGGGGCATTAAGCGCCACTTACTCCTTTCATATAATAAAATGCTTAGTGTTATTGTATTAAGAGAGAGGGACATTAAATTTTACATCATAGATAATAACTAATCAATCAGGGATCTTTTCTCAAATATACTTGGGTTTCTAACCCATGGCATTGATATGTTGTTAGAATTTATAGATGAGTGATTTTTTCATTATGTTTTCCGTTTCCTTTAAACTTGTTGAAAAACTTCCGTTAAATTAGCGCGTGTTTGTTATTAACTTGAAATACAAGTGCATATAAACATGTGTTTGTTTTGACTAACAATACAAGTAAATATAAACTTAGTAAGTAGTATTTTCAACTTTATAACTATCTGTGTATGTAACTAATGAATTAAAATACTAATATTTCTAGAGCAAATTAAGGTATCAATTTTAGCAAAATAAAATGGCGGTTAAATGAATGTCTAAGACATTGTTTATAAATAACTCTAAAATTCACTTTAATACTAAATTTCTATTAAATATTTTGAATAGAGAGCATTTCTAAGAGAAATATGATTTTCTTGATTATAAATTAGTTTAAATAAATTTATAAAAATTAATGATTTAATTAGCAGGGGATTAATGCCCCCAAATGACAAAAAGGTGATTAAAACAACTGAATAAAATTGATTAGATAAATAAAATCAATGTTTTAATTATTTAAACATTACACAGATATAGTTTAAATTGAAAACTAAAGTTACTTATTTTTAGAAATAGTTTAATACTGTTTTAAATATAGTTTTGACAATAGAGCTTATTACCCCCTTTGGACAAAGGGGGAGAAATTTTGCTTAACAGTTGTTTAGCAAAATGGTTCAAACATATAAAAAGGGAGAGGAACTAGGAAGGAAGTTATATGCAACTAGCCTGGCAATGATAGATGCCTACAGGCAAGCAAATGTCTGCCAACCATGCTTTCTTTCATTATGGAGTTGATAAAATAGGCTCTTTTAAGGAGAGTGCGAGGATGGGGCTGATATTGAATGGCTGATATTCCATGACTGGTATTCCATTGTTTTAATATCAGCCCCAGATGGGGCTGATATTGAAGCCGTGGAATGGATCTGTGAGATTTGCTTACAAACAATGTGAAAATAAATGTTTAACTGGAGCTTATTGCCCCCATTTTTTAAATCTTGAGCTTATTGCCCTAATTTTTTAAATCTTGAGTCATTGTTAGTTGTAACTTTTTAGTTTTTTTTTCACAGTAAAATTATAAATTTTTCTGATTAAAGCTATTGTACTTAAAGAAATATGTGTTGTCTATTACTTAAAAACATTTTCAGTTTAAATTTAATATTTTTTTACTTATTTCAAATAGAAGAAATGAAAGTTCTTGAAAACATGGAGCATAATGCCCCGCTTTACCCTATATATATATATATATATATATATATATATATATATATATATATATATATATATATATATATATATATATATATATATATATATATATATATATAAATATATATATATATATATATATATATAATATATATATATATATATATATATATATATATATATATATATATATATATATATATATATATATATATATATATATATATATATATATATATATATATATATATATATATATATATATATATATATGGGTAACATTCAAATGGGTAACATAGCCAGTTTAGAAAATTTGTCAGTTTTTTGTTAAAATTTGCTAAAGTTTTAAAGATGCAATGTCCATTCTACATACTCTACATAAAAAAAAATTAAAATCATAATACTCTTGTTGTTAAATGTTTTTTGCATGTCATTGTTTTCAAATTTTCAAATTTTAAAAATGCTATCTATTGCCAAACAAATATTTGAGAGGCAATTTTGCCAAAATTTTAACCAGACCTCTATGAGCTACTTAGGTAAGTACATTTTAAAGCTGAGTGTATTTACCTTGAGATAAGTGGTGTAAATAGGCTGTTTTAAAAATTAGGATAATATGGCCACTTATTGATTTGGTTAATAAATTTGTCAAATTACTTTATGTTCTAATCAGTTGCAATATGCTATACACATACAAACCAAAGGAAGGTTACCCACACAGTAACTATGCCATAGAGTGAGTAAACAAATCTATAAAGTTTTTAAGTTAAATTGCCTAACTGCACTATATTTTGATTTTTCAAAAATTATTTTTATTGATAAACTTTGATAAAAAGACATACACACACATTTATATATATATATATATATGATTTAAAGGATAACATCTTGTGTGAGAGTATATTTTTACAAAAAATACAAAAAAACTGAACAGTTAAAGTTATTAAAAAAATAATATATAAAATATATATATATATATATATATATATATATATATATATATATATATATATATATATATATATATATATATATATAATATAGAACAAATTATGATAGCAATATAATATTGCTATCATATTTTGTTCAGGCTATCATATTTAACCAGTAACTGTGTAAACTTATATAGGTTTTCAAAGTAGCTGGAAATTTATGGTATACCTTTCCAATTGTAGGAGGTTCTTGTATATAAATGTTACTCATCTTTTGCAGCTAACTATTTTTAACTATTTATATTATTAGGATGCAAAACATCGGGAGACGAGATGCAAAAAATGTTGTATAAGAGCAGTTTATCGGAACGGCTCACTAATCTAACACTTGTTTTGACGTGTCCTTCAGGTCCGCAAACATGAAAAAGTGTATATTACATAGGATAAAGTGACCAAATTCCAGTCGCAAAAAAAAGTGTATATTACATAGGCCTATGTAATATACACTTTTTTTTGCGACTGGAATTTGGTCACTTTACCCTATAGGGTAAAGTGACGGAATTCCAGCCGCATCTTTACAAAATTATTTCTACAGACATATTAACAAAGAGGTCTATATGAAAATTATACATTTCTAGAAAGATAAATCTTTCAGCATTTAGGATATAATTACAGCAATTATTATAAATAAAAAATGTTTGATAAAACAACGATTACAAAAAGTATATAAATTTGACCAAAATACAGCCGCTATGACCAAATTTCAGCCAGGCGTATGCGGAATGAACCTAATTACAGCCAATATAAATAACAAACTTTTTATAATACTTTTATGGGTTGGCATTTAAAATATTTTAAAATTAATTGAATTACTAAATATTGAACCAATAATTTATTTGATGTGATCTTAAACATCAGTTAGAAAATGATTGCTTAACTTAATACTAAGCATTCATCAACAAATAAACTTAGTAAGGATGCCTAAATCTAAAAAAATAAGTTTTCAGGACATGATTTTGAAACTATTTTAAAAGATTTGGATAGAATATAATATTCACATTAAAAAAAAAAAAAGAATTCAGTGAACTCTATAAAAGACTTTTTTTAAACACTAAGAACAAAAATTCATAACAACATGATCAAATTACACATTGCTTTTTTATACTTTTATTGGTTCATTTTTATAGCAACGGTTTTTTTCTAGGATTATCTTTTGACAATACCGTTGCTTTCTTTATTTTTAAGTTTTGTAGTCTTTTCAATTTACGCATTTCTTTTTCCTTTTCATTTTGAGCTTGTTTTTGCTTCTGCTTTAATTGTGACTCATATGCTTCCTTAGAAGTAAGCACAAAAAACTTGTCTGCATTCTTAGCTTTTTTGCTCTTTGTAAAATTTGGATAAGAATATGGCAAAATGTCATTATCTCCATCTCCTGGATAAGATGAATTTTTAAAGGGGAAATTTGGGGCAAAAGATCTAGTTTTTGCAAAATCAGAAGCTAAAAGAGTTGAAACTGTAAAATCAACTTCATGCTGATCAATAGGCTGTTCAATTTCAGAGTAAGACATAATCCTAAAGCTGTCTTGAAACTTACTAGTAGCTTTATTACTTGCAGCTTTTAGTTCTATAGTTTTCATATTTAGTTCCACTAAATCATCACTCTTATGTTCTACTACGGTAATTGGTTCAGCTATATAGTCGTGATCATTTGCTACAGCAAATCTTGGGTTGGTAATTAGATGTTGTTCCAACTCAATATCTGGTAAAAGTACTTTTGTGCTATCTGTTGTTTGCTTAATCTGCTTAACTATTGTTGTATTATCAACTGTTTTAATTTGATCAAAGAGATTAGTCATTAACCTGTCTTCAGAATACACAAAGTTTGGCAAGTAAGCTTCAGCTGGAATAATTGAAGGATTATATGGAAAGATTCCACATGATTTAAAGCCAGATTCAATATTAGCTTTTGTCGTACTTTTATTCCAGGCTTTGGTTAAAAGTCCTGTAAAATTGGCCTTGTTTATTATAACCCCAGGGTGATTAGACATCATATCCTGGGCTGCTTTATTATATGAAACTTTGAATCGCTTAAATACAGTTCGATCACAAGGTTGAAGTTAATTGCTTGTATGAGCAGGTAATTCAACAATTTCAATTCGGTTTTGTATGGCCATATCTATTAACTCTACGAAATTCGAGATAGTGGAAATCATTCATGATGTTCTTGGAATCCCGGAAAAATCACAGGAATGTACATTTCAATAAAGTCTTATGCTGAAGTTTTGAAAAACAGCTGTCATCTTGTTTAACCCAAAACATTTTTTTGCGGAACTTTATATTTTGCTAAAATTTAAACCTTGCTAAAATCAAATGAAAGCATTGATTTTAGCAAAGTTTTATACTAAAACTTTAACGTATATATATATATATGTATATATATATATATATATATATATATATATATATATATATATATATATATATATATATATATATATATATATATATATATATATATATATATATATATATATATATATATATATATATATATACATATATATATATATATATATATATATATATATATATATATATATATATATATATATGTATATATATATATATGTATATATATATATATATATATATATATATATATATATTCCGAATTAAAACACCCCCTGCCTTGGGGCTCTTGGTTGAGTAAAGGCTAGAGATGGTGTCTCGATAAAAATACTCATCTTGGGCAGATGTTACATGCATCCAGCTGCTGTCTTGTAGAAGGCCTCCTAGGCAAAGACTTAAGGGGTAAACAGATTCTGTCTGTTGACCAGCCTCGCACCCCTTCCTCATTTATTAGGCTGGCGCAGATGTATTTTTAATACATTGTTTCCAGTTTAGGATGTTGAACGCTGGATCTTCTTGACTCAATGCGTGGGTATTGCTTGTGTCTCTATTTTTATGACTGGGCAACTCATTCTATTATCTCCTAATGAGGGTACAGCTCTAAAACTCAGTTTTATGGTTCTGAGGCCGGCTGGTAGTCAGGTTTCCCGAACTCTGTGGTAGCTCTCAGAGAGGCTGATTCCATCAACAGCCGAAAAATATCAGAGTACTAACAGTGCCATGTTGCGCATGGATGGTGTCCCTGTTTGTACTTTTGGTGTGCATTGCAGAGGCCACATTTGGAGCCCTTTGTTACGGCTTAGGGTTTATTAATAGTAATGAGGCTATTGCTTAGTTGTTAAATAGTGTACTGAGTACTATCTATACTTGAGTCAAGTTCTTTATAAATTTAAAATGACTAAAGTACCTAAAACTAAAAAACACAAAAAACCATCGTCATCACCAAGTTCTCTAAACCTATCATTTACTAATATTCGTGGTCTTCGAAGTAACTTTTCTTCTGTTGAGTCTTATCTCTTGCAAGGTTCACCAGACCTACTTGCTCTTTGTGAGACTAATTTGAGTTCGGCTGTCCCATCTTGTGATCTTAGTGTTGATGGTTATCTTCCTTTAATTCGTAAAGACTCCAATAATCACATGCTTGGCCTGGGCATCTACATTCGTAAGAACTCACCTATTTGTCGTGAAACTAGGTTTGAATCTACAGACTAATCATTTATGTGCTTTCGTTTAGCACAACTTCACTCTATCGCCTTTCTCTTTGTTCTATATCGCTCTCCTTCATCCCAAGATTGCACTATTCTTGATGTTATTTCTAATCAAATTGACCAAGCCCTTTCTCTTTATCCATCGGCCAATATCGTCGTTGTTGGTGACTTTAATGCCCATCACACCGATTGGCTTGGCTCTAGTGTCAGTGACTCTGCTGGCGTTAAGGCCCTCAACTTCTGCCTTTCTCAATCTCTAACTCAAATAGTCAACTTTCCAACTCGTTTTCCAGACAACCCTAATCATTTACCTTCTCTACTCGACTTATGTCTTGTTTTGGATCCTAGTCAGTGCTCAATTTCTCCACATTCACCCTTAGGTACTTCTGATCACGGTTTGATCTCTCTAAAACTATTATCAAATTCTTCTACTTCATCAGAATCCCCCTATCATCGTACCACATACAACTACCTTAAAGCTGACTGGGACTCTTTCCGTGATTTTCTTCGTGATGGCCCTTGGGTAGAAATCTTTCGTCTTCCTGCTGACAAATGTGCTTCTTACATAACTTCGTGGATTCAGGCTGGCATGGAATCTTTTATTCCCTCTCGACGATTCCAGGTCAAGCCTCACTCTTCTCCTTGGTTTTCCTCACATTGCGCTGCAGCAATTTCTAATCGAAACCGTTACTTCCATATCTATCAGCAAAACAATTCTCCAGAAAACAGACATCTGTTCACTATCGCCAGAAACCATTGTGATAAGGTTTTGTCTGACGCCAAAGCTCGCTATTCCCAGCTCATTAAATCTCGTATCTCATCACAAAAATTAGGCTCTCGAGACTTCTGGAGAATCTTTAACAGTATCAATAATAAGGGCAAGTCTGTTATTCCTTCTCTCTTGTATGGTTCAGACTTTGTCACCTCACCTAAAGACAAAGCTGAATTGTTTGCTAAGAACTTTTCATCAATATCATCTCTTGATTCCACTAGTTGCGTTTTACCTGACATAGCCGCCAAACAGGTTGATCCCTTGCTTGACATTTGCATCACTTCAGCTTCTGTATCTAAAGTAATTTCCTGCTTAGACTCTTCAACAGCTTGTGGTCCTGACAACATTCCTGTTGTAGTCTTGCAGAGGTGTTCTCCGGAGCTTTCATCCATACTTTCTAAACTATTTAACAAGTGCTTATCAGAGTCTTGTTTTCCATCATGCTGGAAAGCAGCATCTCTTATCCCTATTTTCAAAAATTCCGGAGAGCGATCTGATTCATCTAACTACCGTCCCATTAGTCTTCTTCCTGTCATAAGCAAGGTTTTTGAATCTTTAATCAACAAACACTTAATCTCTCATCTTGAATCAAATAACTTACTTTCTGATCATCAATATGGATTTCGGTCTTCTCGTTCTACAGCTGATGTGCTAACAGTAATAACCAATAGGTTTTACCGTGCATTAGATAGAGGTGGAGAGGTTAAGGCTATCGCACTTGACATTTCTAAAGCTTTTGACAAAGTTTGGCATGCTGGTCTTCTCCATAAGTTTTCTTCTCATGGTGTAGCTGGTAACGTCTTTAAGATTATTGAGTCCTTTCTTTCCAATCGTAGTATAAAAGTTGTCCTCGATGGACAACACTCTTCTTCACATCCTGTAACTTCAGGGGTTCCTCAAGGTTCAATCCTTGGCCCTATACTCTTTTTAATTTACATTAACGATCTTCCAGATATTCTCACATCTAAGGTGGCATTATTCGCTGACGACACTACCATTTACTCTTGTCATGATAAGAAGCCTACACTCTCTGATTGCTTGGAGGGGGTATCTG